TGTGTGGTCCGACTCGCTGCCGCTGCCACCTGACTTGGAGTCTCCAGCCTTCGGGTCTTTCTCTTTCCTCCGGTCGCTGCCGCTGCGGTTGGAGCCACTGCTCCGGCTGCCTGTAGGGGACAGGCAGGGGCAGGGGTGGTGGATGTTCAAGAGCTTGCCGAGGAAGCCTGGGTCTCCTCCGCCTTACCTGTCACCTCCACCTTACCTTCACTGTGCTGACTGCTGGCACTGCCCCCGCCGTAGCTGTACCCCAGCTCCGGGAAGCCTGGGTGCGGGTTGTAGGGGTGCGGGGGTGGCGGGTACTGGTAGGGGAAAGCCATGGGCCAAGGGGCAGCCCCCGGGTGCGGCAAAGGGGCCAGTGTGTCCTGGTCAGAGGCACCGCTGGAGCCGTCGTGATCGTGGAGGGACAGGTTGGCCATGTCTGTGGAGGGCAGGAGAGGGCCGGATGTTGGGACTCCCCCATACCTTTGCACCTCTGTCAGGAGGGAGGTCCCAGCCTAGGCTGCATTGGATGCATATGAGATGACAACAGCAGTGGTAGTTTCCCACCATTATGGGAGGAGGCATAGGCCAGAGAGCTCGAATTCCTTCTTAAACCCTCTCCACCACCCAGCAGAGGTGGTAGAGAGGGAGCCCCTGCAGACAGCCCCGGGAAAACCCTTCTCAGGGAGGCCCCAGTCACCATTCCTAGCCTCAATGCCAAAGCCTGACACCCAACTCCCAGAAAAGCCTTTGGCAGTTTCTCCTCCTTCCTCAGTGGACTGGAAGGGACAAATCTCACTCTGTTCACTTAGGGCAGTGATTTTCAACTGGTGTGCCACCAGAATTTTTAAAATAGGCAGTACCTGACTAGTGAGGGGCTCTGACCTCTTTTTCCTTAGACTGTCAAATAAAAAGAGTGGCCAACACAACAATAACGGTCCCATGTGAGTGAGTCAAAATTATACCGATCTTTTTTGTCAGGTTGGCAAAACAATTTTTTTGTGTGTGCGCCACAGAATTTTAGTATTTAACTTATATGTGCCATGAGATGAAAAAGACCGAAAATTGCTGACTTTAGAGGGTAAAAGGTAGAGGAATGTAGGAGGCTGACACCTCAGACAACGATCAGGTAGGTACTGCATACCTGCAATTCATTAGGCACAATACAAAACACTATCTCATACAAATATTTCCCCAA